TGAATCAATTGCTTTTAGCGATTGATCAAGATAAATCATTTTTTTTAAAAAATTTAATATAAATAATATAAAATATACTTAACGAAATATTATAATAAAAATATCCAAAGGAAATATGCAAAATAAAATATAAATATTAATATAACAGGTTTTTTTAAGCTGATAATAATATATAGGAAGGTTTTTTTTAAGAACTTTTTTAGCCCACAATAAAAAAAGTAATCATCTTGGGTTTGTCAAGCGAAAACCCTGTAACACAGTATTTAACAGCACCTGTAGTAAGATCCCAACTAAAATAAAAAAAAATTTTGAAAAAGGTGATGATGGTAAAGACTTGATTTTAAACATAATAAAAATGTTCTTAGCTGTTATATAGAAAAATGTAATAAATTTTTTCCAGGAGATATGTTGAAAATAATGACATAAGAGCTGATATATAGTATTCCTTCTCTCCAACAAATCAATGGGTATTCAGATTTAATCAACACAAGCAGCTAAAATTACTATTACTAATAATTTTTTTGTAAGTTACACAATTAGAATTTGAAACATCAATTATATAATAATAAAATGCGCCTGGCCCAATCAATCCCATCAACAAATTTCCCATCCTACAACAATTTTTATTGATTATTTAAATAACAATTATTATAAAGATAACAGTAACTTTATAATTTGAATATACAAATGAAATGACATGGAATATTCAAGACTAGATTCTAGTTGGGATTTGATTGGTGGGATTATTTTTAATTATGACGACAACTGAATGTTGATCAGACTTTACGTTACATTAAACTGTTTCAACTTTCAGAACAAACTTGTATTGTTTTGTAAATATTTGTTATTGGTTATATTTGGAAATTATTTGTGTGTGGGATTTTTTTTTAGAAATAAGTGAATGAATGTTTTGATAATGTTTGCAGATCTTTTATCGATCAGTGATTTGAAAAGATACATGCTAATTCAAAAACTCGATTTTCTTCTCTCAAAAAAAAAAAATTTTTTCTTATCCTAAAAATCACCATGAAGTATTTTCAAAGTAAAATTAATAAAAAATCCCGCAATTATTTATTCAAATAAATAACTATTAATAGAATTGATAGGTTAAACGGAAACAAAAAATTTTCCGTTAAACTTTCCGCGTCAATATCAGATCAACTTTTCCCGAAAATTAATTATTTGAAAAAA